ATTTCTAAGGCAGCTACATGGTTCAAAGACTGAAATGGTAAGAGGTTGCCTTTTCCCCCTACACCACTGGGAGCAGGCAAACTCACACAAGCACAAGCAACAATTACATCTCATCCCCTGCAGGTAAAGTGCAGTCACGAGATGTCTTCAATGGTGAAGGGCCATGCCAAGTTCAGAGATAAAATGTTAACAAATAGGCATCTTAGAATTGAAGAATGGCCCTATTATCTGACAAAGAATGTAGACGGGGTTTGGGGAGGCCACTTTCAGTGTTGTGCTCACAGACAGATTTGTTAAAGATGGGGTGGGATGTCTTCGGTGTTAATAGACTTCAGTTCTCTGGCAGTGGGGAGGTTGAGCCTGGAAAGATGCTTTCTGGGGATGTTGTAACAGGACTTCAAAGTCCTCCAGGTGCTTTGCATGAAATGACCTCGGAGAACCCCACCTTCCTGACTGGGAGATTCTGTGAGACTCTCTGAGGACAGGGGAGACAACCTGGGCTCTTCTGGGAGAATAGACCTCCCAGGTTTTGCTTGGCTTTTGGAATATTCCCTTTTGAATGGCTGGTTTTGACGGCCTAGTTAAGTTCTCATCACTCATATTTTCTGCTCTGCTTCTGTCCAAAGAGCAAAGTATAGGGGGGAAAATTGTTGAGTTTTGGGACAGCTTTCAGCTGTAATGAATAAGAAAAGCATTTACATTTCCCGTGAAACTGTGGATCAACTTGACATTTGTAGAAACCACGAGGAAGCTACTCTCAGTCCCTGAGTCAGCTGTTGCTAATGCATGTTGCCGTTCTCTGATGGAAAGGGTGCAGGTAGCACGCCCCTTTCTCCGTCAGAGCTCCGAACTGGGGAGAGACCCAAGGGGCTGACCATGGAGGTCACAAAGCAGGCTTTGTTGCTAACAGAATTCTGGAGATAGAGGCAACAATGAGCTTCCTAAAATTGTTCCCCGGATTTAGGCGGCTTTTTATACTCAGCCTCTGACAGTGCTGAGGGAAAAAAAGTTTTTCTTTTGGGGCTAGGACCTTATTCTACATGGCAGAAAAACACAACTTTACTCAACCAGCAGGTGTGAGCTGCTTAAGAGAAGCAGAGAGGCGTACTAAATTAGCTGCATGCTCTGTCCCAAACTCTCCCATGTGATGACTTTGAGGCTTGTGTGTGTTGGGATGGGGGAGGTGGGGGACAAAAGGCAGAACAACAGGAGAGTTTAGGAAAATTTTTCTTCGGGGGGACCTGTTGAGTGAGAAATATTCCCACCTGATCAGCCACCTTTCCTTGTTTGAAGCCTGTTTCTTGGGTGGCGGGAGGTGGGGGAGGGTGAACCTCTATCCTTTATCATTTTGGAAGTATCACACATTCCTGCACTAAATATTATATTTGCAACCTTTCACACAATAAAAAAATGTAAATAACCCTGACCTTGGTGTTTGGGGGGAAAAAGTGGTGTATCCCATCCAAAGGAGACCTTGATTTTATTGCATAATAATGTGATGATGAAGCAATCCTAGAAATGTTTTCTTTCGATGCAGCCATGCAGAGTGAACTAGCTGTGTGAACTTGGCCCAGTGCGGTCGCCTCTCTGGGTCCCTTTGCCCTCAGGGGTTAACCCGGTTTTCTGTCCTGTTGGATGGCCGCCCAGATCCCTTCCTTCCCTCCCAGACCCTCAGACTCTGCTCTCCCAGTTCCAAGAACAATAATTACCACAGAAAGTATCGTCTTTCCCGAGATTGCGATCTTCATAACTTCACCTGTGTGAGCAGACAAACATCAGAAGCAGCTGAAGCAGAACACAGGATCTACGGTGATGTCAGGGGGCGCTTCCTTGAACCCTGCAGTTGAGATAAACTTTCAGACAAATAGCATTTGTGTGTCAGGAGGGAGGCGGGCGAAGGTGGTGCTGTATGAAGCAGAGTCTTTATTCAAGGTATAAGCTCCCCTTTCCTGGGACAGGGAGGACTTTGTCTGTTTTGGACAGCCTGCCTGAAGTGCTTGCCTGTGCTATTGCTTGATGACGGAGAAGAAGAACGGGGTGGGTGTGTCTCAGCTACTTCCTTCCTAAACCCCTCAATCCCTCTCTTCAACGCACTTCTGCAGCCCTGTGGCGTCTGGCTGGGCCCCTCTGCAGGAGCCAGCTTGCACATTTGTGTGCAATGCACACAGATGCACGTACACACAAGACTAATCGCACATCTTCTTACCACTGAGCTGAGTGAGGACAAAGTCCTCTGAGAGGAAGGGACCATGGGCTTCATCACCCTCACACAGCTTTTTCCTGAAGGTCACATCCTTGCCACACCTGGGGTCATACCTATTCCTTAAAGTCACCACAGCACGATACACATGTCTCCACTACACTCTTTTTGCCCTGGTGGGACACTTATTTTGTCTTCCCATATGCCTGTCCCTTCTAGAACATGAGCTCTTTGAATGCAAGGACTGAAACTGATTTATTTCTGATTCCCTAGTCCTAAACCCTGGCATATAAACGGCAATCAATTCAAGCATTTGGGGTTAAGGAACATAGAAAACACCACGGGGGTCTCTGCCCAACTCACAACCACCAGCAAGTCCTGAGAACAGACCCCTGGCAGCATATATAAACATGTATAAACTACCTGAGACCCCTCCCCTGGCAACAGTGGAAGACACCTTGACTCAGTTTGGGCTGCCCAGATTCCTTCCAGCAGGTGTACAGGTGGGCTCAGCCTTTCCTGAGTCAGGAGCTGAGATCTGAGGTGGTGCCCCTCCACCACCACGGGAAATCTGCTATACAGTCTACTATATGCAGATTGTATGTTTCTAGAAATTTGTCCACTTCACTCAGATTGTCTAATTTTTTTAGCTTATAGTTATTTACAGAAATTTCTTATAATCCTTTCTATTTCTGTGGTATTGTTTATAACTTCTCTTTCTTTTATTTATTTATTTGGGTTCTCTCTCTCTCTCTCTGTCTCTCTTCATGAGTCTGGTTAAAGGTTTGTCAATTTTGTTGATGTTTTCAAAAACCAATGCCTGGATGTATTGATTCTTTGAATTGTTCTTTTAGTCTCTATGTTGTTTAATTCTGCCCTGATCTTGATTATTTCCTTCCTTCTACTCACTTTGGGCATTGTTTGTTTGTTGTTCCTCCAGTTCTTTTAGATGTAGGGTTAGAGTGTTTATTTGAGAATTTTCTATCTTCTTTAGAACTTCCCTCTCAGTACTGCCTTTGCTGTGTCCCGTAGGTTTTGTGTTGTTCTGTGTTCATTTTCATTTGTTTCCAGATACTTTTTGGTTTCTTCCTGGATCTCTCATTGTTGACCCAATCATTGGGTAATGACATGGTATCAGTGTCCATATATTTAAATGTTTATTTTTTCCTTGATGTTGGTTTCTAGTTTCAATCCATTGTGATTCGAGCACATGCTTGATATGATTTCAATTTTCCTGAGTTTGTTGAGGCTTCTTTTGTGTCCTACCATGTGGTCTAGTTTCAAAATACGCATTTGTAAAGAATGCATATTTTGCTGCTTTGGGGTAAAAGGTTCGGTATATATGAGTTAAGTTCATTTGATCTGGAGTGTCCTTCAGTGACACAATATCCTTGCTAGTTCTCTGGAGGGTCTGTCCCTTGTTGACTGTGGGGGGTTCATATCTCCTACAATGACTGCTTTGTTGTCAATGTCTTTCTTCAAGTCCTCCAAGATTTTATTTATATATTTATGTGCTCCTATGGTACGTGCATATATGTTTCTTGTTATGGCTTTTTTTTAACTCTATTTTGTCTGATATAACTATTGTTACCCCAGCTTTCCTTTTGTGTACATTTGTTTGGAATATTTTTTTCCATCCCTTCACTTTCAGCCTGTGTAGATCTTTTGTTCTGATGTGGGTCTTTTGTAGACAGCATATATGCAGATCATATTTTCTCATTCATTCAGCTACCCTATGTCTTTTGATTGGCACATTTAATCCATTTACATTTAAGGTTATACTTATTCATTGCCCTTTTTTTCATACCTATATGTCTCTCTCTTTTCTTCCCTTTTTCTCTCTCTCCCTCTCTCTCTGTCTTCTCCATTTTTTCGCAGTCCCTTTAGCATATCTTACGGTGCTGGCTCAGTGGAGATATAAGATATACTCTTTTAGCCTTCTTCTTTTGTCTGGGAAGCTTACTATTTCACCTTCCATTTTAAATGAGAGTCTTGCCGGATAGAGTAGTCTTCATTGTAGGTCCTTGCTCTTCATTACCTGGAGTATTTCATGGCATTCTCTTCCGGCTTGTAGTGTTTCTGTTGAGAAATCAGCGTATGGCCTTATTGGAGCTCTTTGTATGTGACTAGCTATTTCTCCCTTTCTACCTTTAAGAATCTCTCTTTGTCTCTAAAATTTGCCATTTTAATTATAATGTGTCTTGGAGTTGGCCTTTTTGGGTTCATCTTGATTGGGATCCTCTGTGCTTCCTGAACTTGCATGACTTGTAGTCTCACCAAATTAGGGAAGTTTCCCGTCACTATGTTTTCAAACAGATTTTCTGTCCCTTGCTCCTTTTCTTCTCCTTCTGCTATTCCTATGATGCAAGTGTTGTTACATGTCATATTGTCCTGAAGCTCCCTTAAACTATCCTCATTGTTTCTGAGTCTTTTTTCCTTTTGTTGCTCTGACTGGGTATTTCTTTATACCTTGTCTTCCAGCTCACTGATTTGGTCCTCTGCTTCATCTAGCCTGTTTTTAATTCCTTCAAGTGTATTTTTTTATTTCAGATATTGTATTCTTCATTTCTTCCTGGTTCTTGCTCATAGTTTCTGTGTCCTTTTCCATGCTGCTGTAGTTCCCACGCAGTTCCTTGTAGCTCCGAGTTCCTTGAGCATCCTTAGAACCATTATTTTGAATTCTGTGTCTGACAGATTGCTTGCCTCAATTTCATGCCGCTCTTTTTCTGGAGATTTCTTCATTCCTTTCCACTGGGGGTTCATTCTTTGTCTTCGCATTTTAGGTGGCTCTTTTTGTTTAAAAGATACGGAGAGCTTCACGAATTTGCATATCATCCTTGCACAGGAGCCCTGCTAATCTCTGTAATGTTCCAATTTTAGTCTATTGTGGGGGCAACTTTGCCCAAAAAGTCCCTCCATCTGCCATGGATGAAAGTGAAACTCCCAAGACATGATCTGCTTGGGGAGGAGAGGTGGCCAATCTCTCAGAGGAGAAAGACCAAGAGCCCCTTCCTCAAGGGCTTTTATTGGGTTGTAATACACAGGAATACAGGTAAAGCTCATCAATCAATGTCAGGTGGCAAGGATCAAACAGGTAAAGCTCATCAATCAATGTCAGGTGGCAAGGATCAAACAGTAGATAACTTTTCAAAGAAATCTGAGGGCTTAGTCTGAATCAGTGTCTGTCAGGTAAGGGGGTTGCAAAAACTTTGGGAGACATACTCATTTCCTGCTCAGACCCTTATCACAGGAATGAAAGCACTCTTAGCAAAGCAGGTTTCACAGGACTTTAGGAATTCTTTCTTATGCTGGATCACCCCGGATCCTGCTCTGGCCAGCAAAGGGCTGCACCGCCTTCCCCATCATAAGTTTTAGGCCCAAGCGGATTAGAGCCAGAAAGCGCTTCTCCCAGATGGAAATGGGGACTCAGGCTATGTCAGAATAGCTGGGGGGCAAGGGTCCATCACTCCTTCTTTGCTGCAGCTCCTCGAGTCCTTCCTTGAGGGCCTCTCAAGTGATCATTGTCTGGCTTAGGTTGCCCCTCCTCTAGGGGTTCGTACCCATCTCTGACTAACCAACTAGGCATTGGGGCAGGGGATGAAGCAGAAGCAGCACTGCTGCCAGAGATAAGCTTTGTCTCCTTAGTGGCTCGCAGACCGGAGGTCACTCACTCATTCTTAGCCATGGGGTGCAGTTACAACCCCTGAAACCAGGTAGAGCAGTTCCCAACAGTCTATGTGCTGCCAAAGTGAGCACTAATTAAAAAAATTTTAAACGTTAAACTCATAAAGGCAGGAAGCCAATCACTGATGATGAGAAAGTATTGGCAACTAATACAACACATAAAAGGATAAGAACTCCAGGATACAAATAGTACCTACAAATTAAGAATTAGAAGACAGACAATCTAACAAAATAAAGGACATAGTCTGAAGGCCTGTTTATTTGTCTATTTGGAAAATACTGATTTTTATTCAAAGTAATCAGTAAGCAAAAGTCCCAAATATGAAGCCTATGAAATTCCATGGCAGTCAGCTTTTCTTAAATATAAGCTTCACAAGTTTGACATTGAATTCACCCAACCTATTTTAACAACAGAGTCATCAGGAATGTGTTGAATAACCATTCAAATTCATTCCTAACTGTTTCTCAGTAACACCTTCTCCCACACAGGTGATGGTGAGAACTGAAGGTGACAATGCTGTACAGGTGAAATCCCAAACCCAGGAAGGGAATGCTGTTAAACAGCAGAACTTAATTATTTGCATCCCACTTTTCCTCTTCTCTTTCATTAGACTACTTAAAAGCAGGAATTGTCTCCATGCATTTTTTATCTTGGTGTTTGTCACAGCGTGAGAAAGGAGGAAGGAATGAAGGGAATAAGGAAGGGAGAGGAGGAAGAAAGAAGGAGACAAGGAGGGAAGGAGAGGAGGGAGGAAAAGACAAATGGGTAGATTCTGTTCCCAGTGCAGTTCCGCCTCCAGCCACATGATGGCGGCATGAGCATTGCCGCGCTCCAGCGCTTGCTAGTCTGTTACTTTAAATCCCAATTCTTTGAAGCCAGGGGCGCCTGGGTGTGTTGTGTTTGTGCCTGTGAGTCAAAGCTTCGCCCAGCGTCAGCATTGTCAGCTGAGTTGTAATGCAGGTGAACATGGGAAGAAGCTTCAAGGGTTTCGCGGTCTTTCTTTCTTGAAAAAGCCCAACAGGAGTCTGATAGTAAAAAGGACTTTGCAGTTATTTTCAAATGGGGAGAATTGCCTTAAATACATATCATCTGCTCCCCAGGGTCTGGAGTGTGTGGGCAGGTCTTGCTGCTAATGAGTCACGGGCTTGCTGCTCCCAGGGCTTGGCTGGAGTAGTCAGCTGGTGGAATGCTGGGAACTGCAGTCAGCGGCTCTGCACCAACATGCCCCGAATGAAAGTGTGATTTGTGACACAGCAGCCTGGGAAGAGGAACGAAAACATAATTGCTGGAGGCAGATTGTTCTCTTTCAATTGCAAAGCTGCTTCACCTCATGCATAGGAAAGGAACTGTGGTTCTTAGCCTTTGTTCCTCTAGGACAAGCAGAGGCACACCCAGCAACTGTCCTCCTGCCCCTAGTGGCTTAGATGTTTCTTTGAACCCCAGAGCAAGGCTGTTCCCCAAACCAGGAAGAACCCTGCGGCAGCCTGTCTATTCAAGCAGAACTGCCCCAGTCATGGATGTGGCTTTGAAACCTGTTCTTCCCATCCTGCAAACGTGCTGTTAGTGGTTGCTGGGTTTTTTTTTGCCTTTTGAAAAAAAAATGAATTCCTTGCACATGCATTTTTCTTTATAGTTTATACACAGTTTTCATTTTGTCTTCATCACAGCTCAGAAGGGAGGTAGAGGCTGTTGCTCTGATGTTACAAACATGTTACAAATATGAAATGACACATCAGAATCTCCATGTTTGTGGTAAAACAGCCGAGGACTTTAAGGTTGGTAGCCTGGTCTGAATGTTCATCCACTGTAAGTCACCTGACATACCTGAGGCCCAGTTTCCTTACCTATCAAATGAAGAGAACGATGCTAGCCTCTTGGGGGTTGGGCAGGACCAAAAGAAATATGCATCAGGGACCCAGTGGGAAAGTTGTGTATCAAGCACCTTTTCCCACAGTGTCTGATCCTCCCACCTCCACGACTGTGCAAATGGTTCCTTGTAGTTTCAGCTGCTTTTGTGCACAGGTGATCTTCCCGTCCTGGCATTCTCTGGCACACTATAGAACTCTGTTTAGCTTTTAATGATGGATTATCTGAGAGGTTCATGCTGGAGGGTCATTCCTGTCCAAAAGGGGACTGGGACTGCTGGGGAAAGGCTTCCCCTTTCATTCCTGCACATGAGTTGCTCTGAGACATGTTACAAATGGGGGTGAGACTGACCCACGATCACTCATGACCAAATTGTTAGCATCTATTTACATTCCTGTTCTTCCTCCTTGTTTCACTCACGGTCCTTGAGATCTCTCAAGTTTACTACCTGGGTACAAGCCCTGACTCAGGTGCTTCATGGGGAACCCGGCAAGGACAAGATGGGAGAGAAGCTAGGACTCCGACTGCAAGGTCAGGGTGCATACACACATGCACACACACACGCACAGACACACGCACACATGTGCACATGCTTTGGTCCATGTCCATATCAAGCAGGTGGAGCTCCAGAGTGTTTCCAGAGCTTCTGATTAATTGTTGGGGGCCCCAAAAGAGCCAAAAGTGTACATTTTCCCGGACCCCTAACAGACATGGGTTCCTGTGAACTGATGGGCTCTAGTGTTCAACCCCAGATGCCGTGACAACAGCAACCGCCTTAGACCTGGGCTGGCATCAGGTGGAGGCAGAAGCTGTCTCTGTGGTGTGATTTAAGGGTGCCATTAGGCTCTGCAATGCGAGTATATTATATGGGTGGGGTGACACGTTCACCTCGGGCTGTTTGCCACGCCAGGGTGAGTTGGAGCTTGCAAAGGAGTAGGCAGTCGGGGGTGAGTGCCACAGGCCCCCTCCCGCTTAAGCTACCGTTCACTGATGACCTGTTGAGTCAGCATCATGTAAACACTTCAGTGCACATCAATCTCTTCTCAACCCAGGCTTCACAATAGAATCACCTGGAGCAACTAGGAAACGAGTGCTGGTCCCTGCTCCCTGTTTGTTTTAATTTGTATGAGGGTGGGGCTCGGGCATCCAGAAAGTTCCTCATAGTTTTCATGTGCAGTCAGGTTTGAGGGCCATGGATACTAAGTGTCTTTTTCACTCTCACTCCGACCTTCCCAGGAAGGTATTCTTAACCCCGACTCTGGAGAATGGGAAGCAATGAGTGCACTTGGAAAATTTAAGTCACGCAGTCAGTTAGCAATGGACCAAAGAGGCAAGTGAGGTTGTCTGACTCTGAAACGTCAGGCTCCAGCACAGAACACTTGCCAAATTCCTCTTTTAAAACCCCTAACACAGCAGAGGGCAAGTGTGTTCTCCAGGAGAGGACGTTAGGAAGACCAGCAGCAGACTGGGAATTTTTTTTTTGCAGCCCTATGCTTCATCTTAAAAATGCCTCATTTGTTTTTATGAAAACATGAGACTTTACATAATTTTCTATAAAATGATACTTCAGGAAGACAGAATGGGTTGGCTCTTGCTGCACCGTGGTTGCATGGGATCACGTTCTGGTTGCAGCTGCTTGGCCTTGTGCTGTGCTCCATCTCCCTAAGTGGACAGAGAGACTTGGGGGTCACTGTGAGGAGAGGGACGTGGATGGAGAAGGGAGAATACAGACAGGAAAAGTGTCGAAAGTCTGACGCTCCTTCCAGGGCAATTCTGTTATTGTTTCCCACACTATTGGAAAAGGAAGTGCTCAGCTTCGGAAGGTGCAGGCAGGAAGGCTTGGTGCAGAGGCAGAAGCTCATACAGTGAACTTCACTTCTCTTTCCGGGGTCAGCAAACATTTTCTGTAAAGGGTCAGAGAGTAAACCTTGTAGGCTTCTGGACCATCTGGTGTCTGTCACAACTACTCAGCCCTATTGGTGTGGCATAAACGCAGCCATAGACACTACAGAAAGGCTTGGGTGTGTCCATCATCTAATAGAATGGCATTTACAAAAACAGACAGGCAGACCGGATTTGGTCTGTGGTGGTTTGCAGAACTCAGCTCTGTTTTGCTTACTTACAGGCATGACTGAGACCATTAGCTAAATTCCTCCTTTCCTCGTCTAATTCATCTGTAAAATATCAAAGCAAGGGCTGAGCTAGATACTTATAACAGCTACCATTTTTGCTTTCTGAACACACACATGCACATAAACATGTGCACACATATGCACTCATGTCACTAATCTTCTCATCCTGGATTTAGTTTTTGGGTGAGAACAATGAGGCTTAGGACAATTTGATCTTCTGCTTC